AGCGTTAGAGATTTTCTTATTTTACAGCAAGATTTCTGTAATTTTTGTATGTTTAAATTCACTCTATAAATAATATTCTTTTGTGTTCGTTTGTGTGACTTTAACCTCCCAAAAGATACACCGATTATCTGTGGCATGTACATCCTGTGCTGCAGCCTCTCTCCCTTTTCCTCCTATCGCTCTCCCGTTGGGTCAGGCATCATCTTATTTGCCATCATTTTTTGGTTCCTATTTCCCGCAACGTGACCTTTGGACCCTACATCTTATCCATTATCCCGTCTTCTTTTTTCTATTTCCATTTCCTTTGGCTATTTTTACAAATTGCTCCATCTCCTCCACAGACTTTTCCCTACTCTCCGATGTTTCTGTGTATTTTATGCTAATTAATTTTTACAGAGTACGAATAAAACGCGCAGAATATGGGAAAATCTTTTCGGCTTATTCCAAAAATATCTGCAGTCGTAGGTCTAGTGTTTTCTATCTTTCAGATTAAAGTTTCCATCAGTCAGTGTCAGGTTTTCCCTGCAAATTGCACTACGAGGGTACGAGAGTCCCTCCCATCATTCAATTTGTCATCCAATTTCACCTTTTGGCTGTCGCGCCCTCATGCTGCTCATCCTTGAACTCTTTGTCCTCGTTTTAGTTGCTCGTTCCTCAGCCTCAGTGCTCGAGTGGAAATCTCTGATAAATGCCCAAATAATTGCCCGTTCAGGCTTCCCTCTCGGATAAGAATCTTAAGGACCGCTTTGCCATCAAGCGCGACAGAGAGAGAGAGAGAGAGAGCAGGGAAAACCCCTGCTCTGGGTCCTGTGCATTTTGATTTTTTAGCGGCACTGTGGAGTGGCGGGGCCTCGGCCTTAGGTCGCGCTCGCGTCAAATGTCGCGCCGAAAATTATACCTTCTGTCGCTCTGCAAAATATCCAAATACAGGTCTTTTCTCTAGGCGGAAAACCCTACTCCCTGCCAGCACCCCTACTCCCCGCGGGACACCCTCAATCATTGTGTGGCCAGGCAAACAGCTTGGGCATTTTTCCGGCTTTTCTTTGGCGTTGGCGTTGGCGTTGACGTTGATGTTTGTTTCGTTCGTTCTTTCGTTTCGTTGTTTCGGCGTTTGTGGCCTCTCCCTCCTGCTGCTGCCTTCTGCCTTCTGCGTCCTGATTCTTGTTGCTGCATACAGCCGCCACGCCCCAACGCTGGCTGGAATGCCTTTTCACTGCTGTACACCCTGACACTCTGACCAGTTTCCATGGTCGTCTGGTGCTGCTCCTGCTGCTGTTGGTGCCTCGTTTTTATGTATTCAGTCTCAGTGCGCTCACTTGACTTTAATTCTTTTTTCACACGCCCACAAAGCGGGGCTATAAGGCGGGATTGGAAGGGCTGTGGCATGGAGCATGGCAAGTGCAATTTCCTAACGGCTCTCAAGCTGCGGCCAAGGAAGGAGAAGGTGCAGCAGCAGCAGCAGCAGCAGCAGAAACCACGAGAAACATGGTGCACGGGCTTTGCATTCAGATGAGCAGCAGCTGAAAAGGTGCGTCCCCACACAGCTCCCATGCACATGCCACATGCACCTACAACATTCGAGTTTGTAATTGCTCAACATGCCACACATTTCTACAATTTTATGCAGATTTAATAGCTTCCTGAGGCTCCACCTGGCCCTGCCACCTTTTCTCTCCATCTTATCTCACATTTCATTTGCTTGCGTGACATTTCATTTGAGATTCCCAGATACACAAATTCCACTTCCACTACATGGAGCCGTCGTTTGGTCAATTCCTAACTTGTTCTCTCCACCCCGCACCACCCTCGCCCACTTATTTAATTGATTTAAAGCCAAGTTTGTCAGAAGAACACATGTCCCTTTCATGGCGATGGCATCGCGTGGCGGCGCCTTGAGGCGGCAAAACTTGTGCCTTTGCCTGCTCCTTTTTTCCTGGACAGAAACCAACAATTTCCGACACCACCCAACCGACGACTCTTGACATGTTAATTGGCAGTCAGGCGATAGCACAGAAGAGTGTTAGATAAGGGGGAGAGAGACTTTATGATTCGTTTTCTACATTTTGTGCTACATTTCCCAGTTAAGGCAGCCGACAACATGTGTGCTTTTTCTTGTGTCTTTCTATTAATACTCGGGTTTTCTTTGGCTAAGTTTTGGACTAGTTGTGAAGGTGTTTCTGTGTCCTTTAGTTTATTTTTATATTAATTATAACTTTCATTTTTCAGGCATTTATGGCTGTACATTATTTGTACAATTCTTTGTATCATTCTTTCATTCTGATTTTGGGACTTTAAACCCTCTGCAACCTATTGCTAAGCTTTATTCTCATGCAAGACCCACTTTAAAGCCATTTTTCTCTTCATTTAGTTGAATATTTTCTTCGATTTTCTATTGTTCTTTGTCATATGACTCCCAAAACTTTTCCTGCATATTTTTCCATGGCTTTTAGTCAACAAACTCAAACCCTTTTGCACTCTCTCTCTACTCACACTTTATTTAAAGCACTCATTCGTTTTATTCATTATTCATAACATTTATTCACACACAAAATTCACTGCTTCATTTCTTGCATCTTCGTTGCTCTTAGCCGATTTCCACTGTACTCTTGGCGGCCAAAATACAAAAAAAAAAACACTTTTCAAGCACAAAATATGCTTAAACATCTCATTTGGAATTTCCTTTGAACCTCCACGAGTGGAGGGTTGTTGCAAGCGGAGTGCTGATGTTGCAACATCAGCGCATACATCAAATATGAATTCGTTTTTGGCATTCCAAGCCATTTCCTACACTTTTCTTCTGCTTTTTAGCCCCATTCCTGTTCCGCTTTCCCTCTCATCGCTTCTCACTGCTTTTTCCTGTAGCTGCGCTGCAGCTATTAAGTATCTGTCAGATACTTTGGTGCACATTTTGCATCTTTTGCTTGTAATTGTATGCAGTTCCCACTGCTGGCAGGCAGCCGCAGCAGCTATTCCGCATATGAAATTGGCAGACCCACCCCATCCACCCCTTCTGCTGCCTTTATTCCATCTTCTAAGCAGTTGATGGAGTATCCCTGCTCCACTCTCCACTCTCCTCTCTCCACTCTCGAGTGGATAGAAAGTGGAGCGCCACTAAAAGTAGTTTGCCAAGAATTGTCGCGGATTGCTGATGAGGCACCGGCAGCAGCAGCAGGCACTGGGAGTTTGGTTCTTATGGATTGAGCGAGGGATTGGGGACTAGAAATGCAGATGCAAATGCAAATGCAAATGCAGCAAGGGGCAAAGTGGAAGGAGGATTGTACATTTGGTTTGCCCATTGCAATTCTCGATGTTGCACATTGACTGCCATGCAATTTTCTATCCATCATTTTCCCTTATTTCTAAGGTGGCTTGCCTTGCCCCTGGCAGTTTGCTGCTTGATTTCTACGAGTGCAAAGCAAATTCAACAATCCACAAAGCTGTAGCCGCAGAGCCAATCGTAGCTGCAGCTGTAACTGTTGTGTCTTTGAGTAGTTCTAATTGTATCCATATCTCTGTAGTATCTGTGGGTAGCTCTATTTTTATTTGTATCTTCAGCTATGAAGAGCTATGCCTTTGCCTTGATGCATTTCCTTAGGGTTTCCCCTTTTTCACTGTCTCACTCTGTATCTCTCTCCTGCATTTGTTTGTCTTTTGTGGCTGTGGCATGGATTTTTCAAACAAATTGCAAATGATTGCCTAACAATTGTTCCTCGCCCCCCATCTACCCACACTAAACCACTCTACAACTGTATTTGTATCTGTGTATCTGTGTATCTGTGCATCTGCATCTCTCAGTCCCTGCTCCATACATGTGTGTGTGTGCGTCTCTGTCGTTTGTGGGTTTGTGGATCTCCAAAACCGCAATGACAGTGATTTAGTTTTTGGCTCCGAGTCTATTACATGGTCTACGCTGTGGCCAAAACGGGGGGAAGCAGTGCTCTCGGAGCTCTCGCTCCAGACCAAGGTTAATGCTTAAATTTCCCAACTTTTAGATCATGCCATTTGTCAGTGGGGAAAAGGGGCAAGCCAAGGCAGAGAGAGACCCCAAAAAAGAGTTCCACAAACTTAAATTACATTTAAAATTTCTCCTCTTATTTTTTTTCGCTTTTTGCTGCAGCAGGATCTATTTACGTTTGTGATTTGTCAAATGTTCCCCGCTTTTCCTTTTAGGGTTTCCTTCTGCTGTAGGATTTCCTTTCGCCTTTTGGCCCGCAAAGTTAATTTGCAGACAGTTTAGAGAGCCAAACAACTTTGCAGAAAAAAGCAAAAGTGGAAAAGGACACCCCAGCAGCAGCAGTTGGAGCAAAATTCAGAACTGGAGCATTCCATTGAATTGAAATTCCTGGGAAAAATTGTGTCCCACAGATTTGTTTGCCTTTGTTTGCTGGCATTTTATTTGTTTGTTTTTTTTTTCAGCAGCAGAAGGGCGATGTATGAATAAATCTACAGAACACAGCACAGCTTCGAAAACATTAAATTCACAAAAGGAAAATGATCCCAGAGATTTGTTGGCGTTTGAAAAGTTTTAAATTAGAAAAATGGCCAGGGTTTGGGCTAAAAGAAACAGTTCTATAGATTTTGTTCTACTGATAAAACCTTAAGAGCTTTGAAGTCAACGAAAGACCCAACAAAATGTTTACATATCTCTCCAAGATCTTGAACATCAAATAAAATTAAATTTTCTACGTAGATGAAAGCTCTGAGAATGGGAGCTGCAAGTTTCTGCATTTCGTGCACATTTAGTTGCAAAATATTTCGTTTAGCACACACATATTTTTGTTGTTGCTTTCTTTAATTTATTTTTGCCCGTACATTTTCCTGCATTTATTCCCCGGAGTTTTCTTTGAGTTCTTTTGAGCATTTTCCCAGTGTTTGAGCATTCATTGACCCACAAAAAAAAAGGAACAGAGAAGAGAAGAGAAGAAGGAAGTGCCGCAAAAAGTATGCTGCACCGCACGGAAAATGCTTTCGCTTCTGTTTGACTTTTGCATGAAACTTACTTGTGGGGCTGACTGTTTGCTTGCCGCGAAATGTGGCACTCTTGCACAGAAACACACACACACACAGACACACCTCACCACACACTGTAGCACACTTTTGTTGTGCTATTTGTTTGAAATAAATTGTTGCAATTTAATTTAAAGTTGCGACTTGTTGCACGACACACAGACAACACACCACTCGCGACACGTAGCAGCACTGCTCGGTGTCCTTTGATAAACGACCCACCTTTTGGGAGGCGACGCGCGACTGAACGTACAACGGTAATGCGGGAGCGTGGCAGAGCGTGCAACACGTTGTTGACACAAAGACCGTCGAAAGTAGAATGAAGACTAATGATGGCCACGCACACGCGACGACTGATAACTGTGGCACGGCACTGGCAGAGCGGCAGAGCGGCAGAGGCAAAGGCGGCAGAGGCAGAGGCAGTGTACGAGCGAGCACCAGCCGGGGCCGCCGCCGTTCAGTAGCGGGTGGCAGCGTCGAGAAACGAATGGAAAACGAAACTCGAACGAAACTCCTCTCTGCTAACGAGGCGAAGCACCCCGCTGCTCCCATCCACCCCCACTGACAATTGAGCTATCAACTGTTTCATTGCCCATTCGTTCTGCTTGTCGCCGGCTCTCTTAGCACACTCGCTCTCTTCGTGATGCCGGGATGTTTGTGTGCCTGTGTGCTCGGCTCGTTTCGCTTTCAGTTTCCGGCCGCCGCTTGGTCTAGTTTCGCTCGGAGCAGGCGCAGCTGTGTGGGGACACTCTCTTAGGCTGGGCACTCTCTTTATTTGCATTTTGGTGTCAGCTTTGATTGCTCAATTGCTTTCTCTTACATGCAGCTCCACTTACATTCAACCTCTCTCTTTTACTTTGCTTTCAATCCGCTCTCTTTGCTGCACTTGTTGGTCCGTGCTCTTGCTTTCAACTTTGCTTTCAATTTCCCAAACTGCTCTCTTCTGCTTTACATGTTGGTCAGGTGCTCGCTCTGCTCTGCTCTTTGTGTCCCAGGTTAATGCTTGTCGTTTCAATTCAGCTTGTTTCCCTGCCTGTTGTTCCACTTACCGTTGCTTTTAAAGCGTTTCCTGCTCTGCTTTTGAGCTTAAATTGTGCATGTCCCTATCCTGTTCAGACCTGTTTCTATCCCGTCCCGTCCCGTGCCCGTACCCGTTCTCTTTTCACCACTCTCTTCTCTCTTTTCTGTTCTTCTGTTCTGTGATTGTTGCTGTTTATTTCATGCGTTTTTGTTGTGGTGTGCGCAACAGGTTCACTTCGCTGCCGCTGCTGTGGTGCTGCTGCTGCTGCTGCTGCTGCTGCTGCCTCTGTCGCTTCTACTCCCGCCTGTCCCGCGTTCCCTCTTCATCCATTTGCCTATTTTTATTTCCCTTTTTTGTTGCGCCTTTTCCCCGGCTCGTTTGTTGTTTATTTGCAGGATTTTCCTTGTCGCTGCTTCTTGTTGTGTTCTTGTTTTTTTTGCTCGCTGTTTCTTGCATATGCAAATACAAAAAACGTTTTATGCCAGCTTTGACTTTGACTTCGTCACACTGCTTTGACGCTGGCTTTGATTCTGCTTTGACTCTGCACTGCTTTCATACCCTAAGCAAGGGGAGTGTTTATGATTTTTATTCGATTTTTGATATATGTAAACCAAGCACGGAGGTGCATACTTGTGATCCTATAAGTGTGTGAAAGTATCCTTTAATATGCATTTACATCCCAGAAATGGTCCCTTCAATAGAGTATTCTCAGCTTCGACCACTCCGACCAAATAACTTCTTTCCTGCTCTCCCTATGCGTTTATCCTGTTTCTCTCTACACTGCACACTGCGTGTGTCTCTAGCTTGAATGGGTGTACACACCCACCGGAATATGTGTGCGTAAACAAATTTGCATATAATTGTTTGCATGTTGAGTGCCTTTTAATTGATTTTATTGGTTTTACAAGCACTGCATACGCCATAAAACAGCATAAAACAGAAACAGCAACAACAGTCTCCTCTCTCTCTTTCTCTGTCTCTCTCTCTCTCTTATGATCTCTTTCTCTCGTTCCGCCTGCTTCTATCTGGTATCTGGCATCTGCATCTGTGGAGCCGCCTGTGGAACACAATTTATTTACTTGTACGGTAAGCTACTTCCATTTGCACCCCTCGCCACCCAAATACCCAGAATTAACAATGCCTCGTATCTCAATCTGACTTCGTTTGTCCATCTGTATCTCTGTGCACCTATTTATGAGTGTGTGTGCGTGTATAAATTATGCAATTTATAAGCTGCATATTTTATGGGTCGCAGTTCGTAAATTGTTCAAACTGCAGCCCCTACCCTTTCGCCCAGCCATCGCAATGATTGCAAAAATCGATCGACCGATTTTTTGACTGCATTATTACACACATTTTAGTATGGAAATCAAAATGTGACTTTAATTTAAATAGCAACAAATATTAAACGAATATTCATGGCATTATTTTAATGGGATTCCTTTTTGAATAATTCAAATACAATTATGCTAAGTTTAAATATTTTAACGTATTTATTTTAGTGTCATTTCACATTGAATGATTTCTCTTCATTTCGGTGAGATTTCCTCTAAAGAATTTCGTCAAATTCAAGGGAAAATTCCCTCTGGAAAATATTTGATTTCCCACTGAAGAATGAGAGAATTCTTTGTATTAATTTAAAATTCCCAAAGAATTTTAATATTTTAATAATATAAATATTAAATTTAATTTTTGTAATAATACAAAAATATTCTTCACCGGCTGCATAAATTCTTTAAATATAATTAAAGTTTTCCATGCATTACTGCAAAATTTTTACTGAACACAAAATAAAAACTTAAGTGCTTAAATTCATCTAAAAGTGTTGCCACACAATTTCCAGCAAATATCTAATCTGTGAAAATGTGAAAAATAATTTCCAACAGGCAAACGCTAACACAAAACACAACTGTAATTAAGCGGGACTGAAATATGCCAAAAAAAGACTACAAAAAATAAAGAAAAAGCAAAGAAATGGTTGCCAGGGCTGCCACCCCGCCTCAGTCGGCTGTCAGGACTGTGGCTGTAGCTAATCAAAAACTGCGATTCATTGCCGCAGAACAAGAATCAGCAGAAACAGCAGCAAGCGAGAAAGAGGAACAAGAAGATGAAGTGCGGAAACGCAGAAACAGGAATCAAAAGCAGAGACAGCAAAACAGAACGCAGGAAAGGAAGGAGAGCAAAGCAAAGAGCAAACGACTTCTGCCAGTGACAGCCACTAGAGGGCGCTGGGCGTGACCAGCACAGGAGTAGGAGGAGAGATTCAGAGCAGCAGCAGAGAAAGTAGTGCCAGCTCCGCCCCGGCCTGCCCGTTCGCAATGGGTGTCAATGACTGGGCTTGGTCTGTTCTGGCAGTCCTCTCGCAAGGTGATAATAATCAGTTGGCAGTTTTAACAAGACACACGCACGCCCCACGCACAGACCCCCCAGCAGAGCACACCAGTAGCAGCCACACGCCGACACACAAACCAGCAGCAGCCCATATAGACACATGGACACAAAAACAAAACAAAAAATGAACTGTCGACGCTGCCTCCATGGTAATCCATCTTCACAATGGTTGCTCTTGGACACCAGTTATCTATCCCTGATGCTGGCTACTCCCTCGCTCTCGCTCTCGCTCTCCCTCTCCCTCTCTCTTTCCTGGCACTAAATCCGGCAGTAAAGAAACTAGATACAAATATCTTTAGCCCTGGCTTTGATACGAGTATCTCCGTGCCTTTGGCCTCTGCTGTAATTATAGTGGCAGCTTATACTAGTCTCCACACTCCACACTCCACACACCCCCCCACTGCCCATTTCCCACTCCCCATTTTCCCATTTCCGTCTCCTGCCATTGACAAGTCCAAGTTGCTCCAACACAGAGGCAGAGGAAGAGGAGGAGTAGAGGCCAGTGAGCATATCAAGTGAACTGCCCAAAACACACACATGAGCACATAAAATGCACACAGATACGAACACACACACACACTCACACTCCCTGCAGCAGAAACACTCAAGAAAGGGAAGAGGGAATGGGAGGCAGCAAGGACAGCACCGTAAAGCAGTCACATGTGTCCCCCCTCTCGCTCACAGTTGATGTTCGTAAAGTTGATTCATTCATTGCCGAAATTTATATGACCCCGGAACCAGCAGCAGCAGCAGCAGCGGCAGCAGCAGCAGAGATTTTCATCGCGAGATTGCCCCAAATCCCCGCTGCCTCCCCAGAAAACTATGATGTGCCATGCTGCTGGGCTGCGTAGCCCCCAAATGGGATGGCGAATGCGGATGCGTATGATGAGCCGAATGATGATGATTTGGCACTGACAATGACGGTTACCCGTCTCCAAACTCCAGCAAATGGTGGCTAATGTCGCCCGCTCGCTGTGCCACGCCACGCACAAAACACCGCGTGGGGCAGCTGCTACACTCGGAAGGGGGCACAGTTTCTGCTTTTCGTAGCCAAATGATTTATCTCACAGCGGGACTGGCACAGAAGTGTTCGTCCACGCTTGATGGGGAGGCTTACGGTACAGGGAGAGGGGAATCCAATTAGATGGGTGCGAATAAGGAGCATAGAAAGCAGTTGCAGGAATCTGTGCAAAATGATTGTCATGAATCGATAAGTAGCCATCGAAAGTTGTGCGATCGATAAGTGCTGAAGAGCCGGAACTGGCAGTGGAAAACAGATCTCGGAAAGTATTATTGTTATGAGGTAAATTGTTAGTGCAAGTGGAAAGAGATGGTAGAGCTCTCAGAAGAGTAAGTTTCAAGGGTAATTTTCAATATCTAATTTGATATTTTTCCATAATTATTTATGCCTATAAATCATAGATTTACGTTTAACAAAATGTACTTTCTATTTACACGCTGAACAGCCATAAAGCCACATGAATTTTCCATTTTCCCCACTGTATTTCCCATCTGCTTTCCCCGTTTTCCTCCTTCTTTCAACTAACTCTTCTGCATTCCCTTCTTTCGCTTGCGAGCAAAAGCCACAAGTTCAGCATCTGTCGGTCGATGCTCGCTGTAACGCTCCACCCAGGCATCGGCTATTTTGTAGAATTTCTTGGGATCATTGCGATACTCATTGGCCATGTCCATGCTCCAGGCATTGTCCGGCTGCGGATCGTTGATGGTGGCCAGCAGGCAATTCAGCACCGCCTCAATGCGGGACGTGGGCAGCCAGTGCTCGCTCTCCAGGATGGGCAGACACACCTGTCCGCGCTCATTCACATTCGGATGATAGATCTTTGTGTTGATGTGCAGCCGTGGCGGCTTAAAGGGATACTGCTCTGGAAAGTCTATCTCCAGCTTGTAGGCCCCCTTGTCGTAGGGCGCACTGATGGGCATCAGCAGGCCGTACCACTTGAAGATATTGTCGGGTTCGACCTCCAAGCAGCGAAATTGCAGCAACTGCGTATCCTCGATCATCAGTTTGAGTTCATTCTGCATTCGCTTGGGTCCATCCATGATGGGTTCCTCCTTCTTCGCCATGATTGCTGCCTGTCTGCTGTAATTCCAAGTGTGAAATGTTCGGGTGCTTACTGAAGGGATTTTGTTAACGTTTTTAGCACAGGCTACTGTGTGGGGGAAAGGGAATGCGATGGCTACTTGAATGCATGGCACAAAAATCCTTTCACATTCGACATTAATCCCCGAAATAGCCGGCTAGTCTGACGTCGACAGGCACTGACAGCAGCACATTAGGATCAAACGCGGATGTGTGGCATGAAGCAAGAGGGAAAAGCTAAAGCCAAAGCCAAAGCCAGAGCCAGAGAGCCAGAGAGCCAGAGCCAAGGCAATACCCTCCACAAATGAAAAGCCGTTTTATGGGTAGTTGCAAGTTCTGTCCATGCCACTGCCTCTGCATATTTATAGCGGAGATTTCATAAGCCTCGTGACATGTGAGTGGCATGTCTGGTCGAATAGAATGGCTGCTGCCCGGCTGGCTGCTGCTGAATGATGAGATTGCCATTGACATTTTAGTTTTCAATTAGTTCCCTGAGGCTCCACAAGAAGTTGTACTCTGTGCGCCCCCAGGGAACGTATGGAAGAGCCTGCCGTTTCCACTGAATTTTTGCCTCATAAATATGTAACAAAGCGGCACGTAAAAAATACACAAAAATTAAATAACAAAATATGCGACAGTGGACCGTCGACAGGCATCACGCCCAGCGATGTCGATGTCATCATCATGTAAATGAAACCAAGAAGAAGCTTTCCCCCAAGGAGCAGCGCGCTCTCCTCTGCCAGATGAATCAGCGACTACTACGCATAATTATAACTACATCTCTCTCTCTCTTCCTTTTCCTCTTTCTTAGTACATATTAATCTCTCTTTCTTTGGGTTCCTTCAAGTGTGATTGATAGCTGGCAGTGCCACTGCCCGGCCATGTCCTCTGCTGTTTGGGCAGCTGTCTTTCAACAGGCCAAAAGGTTCTCAACACAAAGAGATACATTTGTACATCATTGAAGTACTTTACTTTACTCGCCCTGATTTACGAGCCTGTGCTGCCCGCATTTAAGCATTGATTTGTTTCAATCAACGCACTTTAATAGCAATAATTGGGCTTGCGGTTTCCGATTGTGGTAGGTACGAAAGGAGCTACTTTAATGCTCAAAATTTGCAACTTTTGATGGCCGTCTGAAGACTGTAGAAAACTTTCAATTAGCTTGTTTTGGTCTCATACATTTTGTAGCATTGGCACTTAGTTTTCTCTGCCTCTTAGGCACTTTCCTTGCCTAACCATTCACAAAGTTTAGTTTTCCTTCCTGGTTTTGTTTTTTTGCTGCTGCTTAAATCACAGTTAGCCTGCTGTGGGCCTAATCGATAGTTTTGCCATAGTTAGCAAAATGCCCAAAAATTCTGTTGGGGCAAAACCCCCACGAAGTGGCGGCAACATGATAGATGCCTCCTCATCACAAAAGCGAGACTGAGAGCGGGAAAAACGCGGCGGCAGCCAAGGCGTCTGACAGCTCAGCGGGTGGCCTGCTGCTCCACCCCACCCCACCCCATTCCCTACCGTTTTGGGTGTCCTAAGTGTTGGGCTGGGTGGTGGGGTTTGTTGGCCCATCCATCGCAGCAGTTGCCGTTTGCCGTCGTCGCCATACTTTTAGCATAAACAGCCGGAAGCGGAAATGTTGATGACGCTCGGCGCGGCTCTCCGCTCTCTTGCTCTCTCTCTCTCTATCTTGTTTGTCTGTGTGTGTGTGTGTGTGTGTGTGTGTGTGGGCTACACCCACATCTCTGGCTACTCATCCGTACTGCTGCCTCATCCTCCTACTTTCAGCTGCTGCCTGCTCCTCTTTCTCTCTTACTCGCTGACATCTCCACCGCGTGTCATTTTGTGTCATTTGTTTAGCTGTCATTGCCGGCGTATGGCCGCTGACAGCTCAGCCTCAGCCTCAGCCTCAGCCGCCTCTGCCTGGGCCTCTTCCCCCCTTGTTCCACTTGCTGTGTGGCGCCAAGATTCAAAGGGGCTCGCATTTTTTTTTCTATGAGAAATCAGCCAAAAATTAGCCATTGCCGCGCGGGGCATTAAATCTAATCTGATCCGATTTTCTATTACCAATTGCCATAGACTCCTGCTGTGAGGCTGAGGCCTTACTCTCTCTCTCTCTCTCTCACTCTAAGTTCCCTTTCCTGTCCTTTTCCTTGCTGCATGTGTGTGTGTAGCTCCTTTGTCCCTGTGTCTCGGTGTATGTTTTATCTCAATTTGCCTTGGGCCTGACTGTCGCTCCCCCCCTTTCCGTTTGTTTGTTTGTTTGTTTGTTTGTGCACTTTAATCTTTTTATCGTACTTTAACACTTTGGCTACAGTTTCGTTGACTTTTCGTGCCTTTTGTTCTCTCATTTGGGGTCCTTCATTAGCCTCCAGGCTATGCCCCCCCCTGCGCCTACTGCTACTGCCCCTTAAAAGGCGCGAAAAATGTCGCGTGCTGATTTGTCCATTTTTTTTTGTAGTTGCTTTTCCGCTGGCTGTCATCGACCTTTTGCGTAGGCTTTTGGGGTAGGTAACCCTTGTCCGAGCATCATACCACAGCCAAGGGATAGATGGCAAGATAGCCAGAGAGGCAGAGATAGAGAGCCTGATATATGATGCGATTAACATTGGAAGGACCTTAGTTGATTTCCCGAGAAATGTCCTTGGGGCAGGGGAAGCTGGTAGCAGGAATTTCCATGCAATTTCTCAGTCTTTTTGTTGTTGGCACAAATTTAAAATTAATTAAGCGGCGGCTTATCAAAAAGCAAATGGAGGCAAGCAGCCAGCCATTGCACACATGCAACATGCAACAGATTATTCATGTGTGGGTGCAGCAGGAGGCACGAAACGACATCGTCGTCGTCATCGTCATCGTTGCCCCATCATCATCATCATATCGTTGCCGCTTGCGTTGATGTGTGGCACGTTGCCATAGTATAATATTAAATTACATTCGAAGTAAATAAAAGCAAAAATGCGAGTGCACACCAGAGCCAGCCTCAGAGACACTCCTCTGAGTGCAACACCCCACTACAACCCTTCCATAACTTCCGCCACGCAGTTGCATGCCAGCACCCCCATAGGCGCGCAGGCACTACAATATCCAGGGACCAGAGACCCAGCTTTGGGTTGCCGTTTTCGGTGGAACTAGTTCCACTTGTGGCATGGAATTGCCAGGGTTGTATTCTTGGAATATTTAGTGTAAAAGCTCTCATTAGGTAGCTCAACTTTGGACTGCTGCAATCTCGTTTTATATTCAATATTTTAGCTCAAAAATGTGCAAAGATCTCCGCTAACTTGAAGCCACTTGCAGCCCATCTAGAACTAGTTCCAATGTCCCCTAGTTTCCCCCAACGCTTTTGTGCAGCTTACACTCGAGTAGCCCACTGCTACCCGCTGCCTGTTCTCCACTGTCTCTTCTCCATGGCTTAATTTGAAGCCAACTTTGTCATAAATTATGCAAACTGAAATGTTGCAGCAGCCTCCAGCCCCCAGACCGCCACCCTTCTGAGCGAATCTGAGCCCCATCTTTAGCCCATTGGAGCATCCATTTCCCCGACCACCCGCCCTGTCTGGGTACTGCTCCTGTTCGTCCTGCTGCTGCTGCTCGTCTGTCGCTTGCTCGCGGGCATTACTCAATATGCAGTTAGCTGCTGCTGCTGCTGCTGCGCTCAAACGTGCTGCAATTACGAGCGGGGGGAAACGGAAGCTACTACCCAACCTGAGCCTCTCCGCCCCTACTGTCATTCGCCCCTGCAGCTCTCTCTCGCTTGGCTTTTTGCAGCAACGTCATTTGTACTTAATGACTTTTCAACGTCGTGTGCGTGCAACATCAGTTTTCTTGAGGCTTTTTTGGGCTGCCTCTCGTGGGGTTGTTCGCTCATTTGCTTATTGCAGGGACCAGCCGGAAGGAGAGCCATAAATAAAACACGCACGCAAGCTACGTGGTAGCTGGTGGCACCTGTTGCAGCAGCAACCACATTTTGAGCACACATTTAATTGTAAACCAAGTTGCGGCACAGTCCCAGAATTGTGCCTTTAACAAGCAACAAAAAGATGACCCAAAGCCGCTCCAGAGGAGAGAGGACTGTCTTAGGCTTAAGCCAAATGGAACATCAAAGAAAAGAAAAAGACTAAAAGGAAATTTCTGCGCGTGGGCAGGAGGAATCGGCATCGAGAGTTTGCTTATCGGCAAAATGTTTAATAAAAACACAACTGACAGACGGTAGGAAGGGCACCACGACCAATGGCCACATCTCGATGAGCAGGCCCCAAAAATGATTTAAAATCTTTTCTTTGACAGCGCAAAAAAAAGGAAAACATGCACATTCCATCTTTAAATGGTTTCTAGCCGAGTGTGTGTGTGTGTGTGTTTTTTCGGGCCATTAAAGGGAAAAAATGAAATTGAATAAGCGTGATTTGGATAGCCAACCGAACCGTGCACACAGCAACGGGGCAGCCCTGAATTCAATCCAGCAAGAAATCATTTCTGACTGGTCAAAGGCAGCAACACCCCCACCCCCCCAAGAAATATTTAAGGCGCTGCGTGGGGGCATGCCAATAAATCAAAGGCCCGAAAAAAAGGTTTGCCCCAAACAATGCGTGGCGGCGGCAGCTGTAGAAGTCTCTCCCTCTCCCATTACTCCTTTTATTCCGCTGAGCATCCTCCTCTCGATACTCATGTGTTAGGCACACACTTGTGGCACACACTGTGTGGCAACAGGGAAAGAGATTCGAATTTATTTGCGACTTCCGTGTGCAACTTTTTCTTGTTGTTGTGCGGCAATTAAGTTCTCAACTTTCTGTAAATAAATACGCAGGAAATGTGAGCCTGCTCCAATCAATGGATCATTAAAGCCTTTTCTGCTGCCCGTAAACTTTTGGCAGCCACTGTGTGCTTTTTATGCATTTTAATTGCCGCCAAAAAGGGGCCATACAATTTATAGTTCCCGAGTCCCTTTTCATAATTGGATTTCGCCCCGCTGGGTCACGTGCAACATCTCAGAACTTGCCACACACAATTCAATGAAATGAATGGCGGAGGGGTGCAGAAAAAGTGTCAGAAATTTACACGAGAGTACTGTTTGACCAGCAGAGACTGGGGAGCAGGCAGAAAGCTGGCTGGCGGTGAGGAAAACTCAGTTAGCGCCTTGCCACACAC